TTTGGAAAACTGGCCCCCACTGCGTTTTTGGCTTGAATCTTGATAACCTTTTTCCTGTTTTTTCTTTGGTTGAAATGAGGACTCAAGGACCAAATCATTCCTACTACATATGACAGGATTTATATTTTATCAGAATGAGTGTCAGTTCTGTAAGTATATCTGAAGGCCTCTTCTCTTGAAGAGTCCCATTGATTTCATAGGAATGTACATTATTGCAGAAATCTACCTGAATTCAGTAACTTCCTGCCCACCGTAGTTGGCTTTCACATTTTTAATTGATTATAGTTTAATTCAGTGAAGGATTTATGAATGATCTCAGAAGTTAAGTCGGTGAGTAGACCCACTGAGGTCAATAGGAGTAGTCATATGCTTAAATACATACACGTGCATAAGAGCTATGCTGAATCAGGGCCCATTTGTGAATGACATGGCATGTTACTGTTTTTTTAACCCTTGTATCTCAGTACTCCTGGAAATAACAATGACTTTCTGGTTTGCCTTGATGTTATCAAGTTATATTTTATATTAGTTTTTTACTGAAGTATTTCACACTTTGGGGCTCCCAAATACTAGTGGAAAATTGCAACAGGCAGAGGAACTATTAATAGATTTATTTTTTGCTTGAGAATCTACAATGTACAGTGTTCTATACTTGGCATGGAAGGATGAAATAGATATGTATATTACAGCATCAGGAATATCTTAAGATAAAAGTTATTTATAGTTCAGCTACTTTGTATAGTAAAACTTCATTACTGAACTAAGTTGCTGTTCAGTAGAAAAGAAACAGCCAGGAAATGTGATTTACAAAGCCATCCAAATGATGGAAATGCTCTCTTTAATCACAGCTAAAATTATGAGGAAATTTTCCTTGGAAAATTTACTCAGAATAAAAGTTAGAAGACTCTAAACATTATCTATCGAAGTGCAACACTTAAAATTATTTTTTTTCCAAAGATGAGTGATCCTTTTGGGGTAGGAGGGAAAAAGTATTCCTGGTTTGTTACAGTACAGGAAATAAATGTGTTACAATTGCCTCATACACAATTGTACATAGATATACTGATATGAACTCACATGGACTCACAGTGGATGTGGCTTCTTTGAATGGATCTGGCTGTTGTTTCTGGTGCCTAAAATTCACTTATACACATTTAGTAATCCTCTGTGTTTAAATCTACTACCAAATAGGTTATCTGAAAGTAGGGCTTCAATTTTTTTTTCAAACCTGAAACGGCATTGGAATGCTTATGAAAGAAATAAATATTTTGGATATTTCCTGCACTTTTCTAGTCACTTTAGGTTTAATCTCTCAGTCGCTGTCTTCAGTGGCCATAGAAGCTTCTTGCTTCTTCCTATCTCCAGTGAAATGATTGGCAGGTCTTTGTGAATGACTCAAAGAAGAACTCCTGGATATTCTGTGAATGAGTGTAAAAAGTCTAACATGAATTCAGATTGTTAAAATGGCTTATGGGAGACTTGTGGAAAGCATAGTGTTGGAAAGTGATGGAAAGAATGATATTTCAAATTTGAGATTCTCCCTAAACCTTTTCTTTCTGTTCTATACTGACCACAATGAATAAGTGTACCAAATGTCAAGGCTCAAGCGTGATAGGTATATTGTATACTTAATTAATTGTGAAATAATATTAAACTAAAACTTCATTAAAATTCATAGAGATATGCAAGTTTATTCCACCAGAGGATTTGCCCACCAATTCTAATTCTGAAGGTTCATTAAATATTGGCTCTTAAATTTGTCACAGAACCTAGACTTTCACATTGCCCTTTCTTGCCAGAGGGTCAAAGAAATGTGCTTACTTTCCTCAATTTATCCCCAAAAGAAATCATTCTTTTGTCAGTTGTTTTTACAGTGGATGTGTTAAACTGCTTGGAGGTCTGGAATTTTAGTAAGAATCCCAGAGATGACAAGCCTAAATACTACAACAGAAATTATCACACTAATTTAGTACTACTCCGATCATATTATCCTATGATATGCTGCCATGAGACAATATAAGAACCAGAGGTCACCCAATGAAATTAACAAAATGCAGGTTTAAAACAAACAAAGGGAAGTATTTTTCTATTCAAACCATAATAAATTGCTGGAATCCATTGCCACAGGAATTTGTGAGGTTCAGTAGTGTTGCCTTGTTCAAAAAGAGCTTAGAAAAATTCATGGGTGATAAGGCCATTAAACACAACAGTCAGTAATGTAATCCCAGACTCAGGATACCTTTTAAACCTATGGGGTGCATCCAGATGAGCATGCAGGTACATCTTGAAGCATCTGAAAGCCCTTTGAGACACTGCAAAAGGCACATGCAGGAATGAGAAAACTTTACCTGTGCTGCAAATTTTCAGTGTGGGGGCAAAATTAGACCCCTGGATATCCAGTAGTCAAAAAAAATGGAGCAGAAAAAAGTGTGTGGCAGGGCATGGTTTCAGACTGTGACCTGAGGCAGCTGGAAGCTGGGTTCTCCAAAGAGATACCCTGGTAGCAGCCAGAGCATCTCTATGGCTGGGCCTTGCCCTAGTGCTGAAGTTGTAGGCAGCTGGACCTGGGCTCCAGTGATGGTAGGTAGGGGATAAGAGGGTCTGGAGGAGGGGAACATGGTGGGGACACCCACTAGCCCCGCCCACTTCCCTAGCCCCCCCGATCACTGCTCCACCTGGCCCCAGCCCCCACAGCCCCGTGAGCTCCCCCATTGCTGTCCCATCTATCCCCTCACACCAACATCCCAGCAATTTAAAAAAAAACAAAAAAAACCCCCACACTCACCAGCAGGAGCAGCTGCCATTGGGGTCACTGGGCGCCCTCTGAACAGCATGGGGCTGGATGACAGCCCCAGAAGTTCCAGCCTGGGCCCCACTGCCCTCCGCTGCTCTGTGCTGCATGGGGGCACTCTGCCAGGAGACCCCACAGTCACTGCTTCTGCCAGTGAATAAAGGCTTTTTTTTTTTTAACATGCCAGAGGCTGGGGGAGGGGGGGGGCAGAAGGGGATGGGACTGGGTAGGGCAGCCATTGGGGGATCTGAGGAAGCGGGAGGGGGGGCTGCATAGGGCAGCCATTGCGGGGGCTTCAGGAGCCAGCAGGGGATGGGGCCAGGGGGGAAAACAATCTGTGGGGCTAGGAGAGTAAGTGTGGGTGGGGCATGTGGGCCCAGCAGGGGGGTGGTAGCTTGGCCCTGTGGCGGGCAGCAAAACATATAGGTATTTAGAATTCACTTTATTCTGAAGATAGAGACATTGGTAGGCTTCCAAATTGCTTTAACACTCTAGATAAATCATAAAACATTGCCCAACTGATATCTGTCTGTCTTTTGTTTTAATTGTGGAGGAACATGGATTTTGGGGTATTTTATGGAGTGAATTTGGGATTTTTTTATGAGGGATTTTTCAGTTTTCAAACAGGGAACACCGTGATTCCTGCTGGGGAGGCCAGTGGCAGGACCCTGCCTGCTCAGAGCTGGCACCTTGGACCCAGCTGGCTGTGGCTGACCTCCTGGCCAAATGGGGCCAGGAGGACATGCTTTGACAGTTCAAAGGAGGCCACCACACCCAGAACATCTTCCAGGCAAAAGCTGCCCAGATGGCCAGGCAGGGGGCACACATGGCAGTAGTGCCACACAAAGTCCAACTTTGCAGCCACCGCCCACTGGCAGCTGGCCGAGAGAGGCAGATGCCTGTACTGGCTATGCAGTCCCCATACAGATTTGGCAGGTGCGCAGCAGGTCACAGTCAGGTAGCAGCCCCCACTGTCAAGCTGCTGCAGTGGGTAAAGGGCGCAGGGAACTCTCAGGGCTGCTTCACCAGTCCAGTTGGCATAAGAGGTAGTATCCCCAGGTACCAATTGGCTGGGCCACAGAAGCTCCTGAGAGCGAGAAGCCCTGAGCTAATTTACAGGGCAGATTTTTGTACTGATGGGGCTAGGACAGGGCAGCTTTTTATACTGCTGGGAACAGGACAGGTGCTGGCCCTGGGCTTTAGGTCTCCCTGGCTGTAGATCCACGAGGAGCCAGGCAGGGTTATTTTGCCCCAAGCAGCACAACTTCCCCCACACCAAAGTGCATATCTGGGCACATGTGCTGAGGCAAAAAGCCCTAGCTCAAATTTGTACCACTTCTATTTGAGCTACTGCAAGCACACGTGCCTGCATGTGTGGATGCTCCCATGACTACTGGCAGCTAGACATACCCAGTTTCTCACTGTCCTCCTTTAAATCATCCACGATGCACCACTGTCAGATGGTCACATAAACTTTTGATAGGAGTCAGATGACAGTTCTATGTTCATATATTGTTGTGATGCATTCCTGTAGCATATATACATTTGACTTAAATTCATTCTTAAGATGGGTATTTCCAGTAGATCTAAAGCAAACATCTGTTAAGTAACTCAAGACACACCAGCAGGAAGGCTTTAGATTTGACCTTACCTTTTTTTCCTCCTTTACCCAGAAGTGGAATGCTGAGCAAAAGAGCACATTCTTTGCCATCTGACATGGGGACTACTGTGGGGTGATCAAAGGTGATGAGCACATGTTGCTGTGTGCACTTCCTGTTGTATCTTGTATAGGGCAAGATACAAGAAACAAGTACACTCATTGTAGCCCACTTAACAGCAGGAAGGGAAAGAAAGAAAGGCAGTTGCTGAGAGGCAAAGTTCATCACATTGGGACTTCATAAAATTTATCTGCCACATTTGCCAATAAAGCCGAGTCACAATGTCAGTCATGATACAAAAACAAGCAACATGACTGTGGGATTACCATGTATTCCCTATGATTGCAGTTCACAATAAAATGTTTCTCCACTGCTTTAAGGATAAGTAGCTCTACTTTGGGTACATGACAGCAAAATAAATGGATAACCCATGTGTGAGTTTTTGGGGTTTTTTTAGAAATAATCTCTATATAACTTGTGTAGCATGATCTGTCTTTTCTGCCTTATTGTTAGCACTGAGAACATTTGCATGAAATTAGGAAGCTAGCATTTCAAAGTTTACCTGCTTCTATTGATCATTCTATGTCTGAGGTCATAATTGTTTCCATAACAACTAACTGAGATGTTAAGTATCTGATTGATGGTAGGAAATAGTCAGAAGATAAAAACACTTATTTCACAATTATTTTCCATGAAGATATCTTTAAAATAAAGAAGGAGAAGAGGTAGTAACAGTCGAGTTACAGAAGACATAGTAAGGTAATTGTAAAATGAAATAATTTATATGAATCTGGAACTCTACACAAAATTGAAAACCTTCTAAAGCCATTTTTGGTTTGTCTTATGGAGGATGGTCTGTTTTCAAGGACTATATTTAAAATTAATTAGATCACAGTATATGTTGACATAGATTCTAGTAATTCACTTCTTTATTGTAGAATCATGACTTGTAATAGCATTTCAGACTAATACAAACATGTTTCATAAGAGCAAAGCTTTGAAATTCTCAGTGAATAACTTCAATAATGAATTTTTGCCTTTTAAGATTTTTTAAAAATTAGACATTGGTGAGAATGGGTTGATGATTTTAAGAACCATTCTCTGGAGCCCTTACCTCTTTCTACCATTTCTTTTTATTGTTAAATTTAACATTGTATTCATATTTTTGAATTTTGGGTAGAATGTAATAATCCCATAACACAATAATGGTTATTCTTACATGATTTTCAGAACAAACAGCAAAGAAGAATTACGTAAAATCATATAAAATTTGTTTTTATGACCTTTCTGGCAAAAGTTTCTCATTTAAAATGCAAGATTCAAACAGTGTTAATTTGAAGACAGATTGGTACTTGGTATTTTGTTTACTCTTCTGATTATTTTTCTGAGAATATCAACAGATGCAGAAAATTTGTCTTTTCATTTGTACTACTACAGCCTTTATTTGTATCAGCTTTTAGTTTCTGACTTCAGCTTCAAAATGTTCTAAATAATACCGTATGCTAAATTTCTTTGCCTCAACTGTGTGCTAGACTTAATATTCAAGTTGCCCCACACTTTTTTTTCACAGTTTCTGATATTATTAGGTATTGACAACTATCCTCATTAATCTGCCTTGCCAGTCATGAATGACAGGAAGCATTTGTAAATGATGAGACAAAGCTTTAGCTTTCAATTCATAAATCTAGAATTGATGATATTCCTGGATTTGTACCAACTTTAACCCATGTTATTCATGTCATCTGTCTGAACTTGCAATTGTTACGACACATTTGATGCCATACTTTGCTCCTCAGTCAACCTGTGTAGATCTGGGGTAACTCTTGATTTTGATATGCTGAGCAGAGCTTAATGACCTTCTTTGAGTTCTAATAATAGAAATATTTTGCATTCAACCAGCACAATTAGACAAGTAATGCATTTCCACTAAATTCACTGTAATTAATTGCCAACAAATTCATAGCAATCTCTGCCAGACAGCTGCAATTTGTCTGTACTCTGAGCCTCCATGGAGCATGGTCTTCAAAGTCTCTTGGCTTGCTGTCCTGATTTAAGAAGCTGGATGCCTCCTTTTGATTATGTCTCATCTGTCTTCTCTCTCTAAAACCCCCTCCATATATATGCTGCACTTTTTTTAGGAAGTAATACTACTTCTATCTTTCCAATTTTCCCTGTGTGATGCTGCCCATCCTTTTTCAAACCAGTGTAAATTGTTTCATTTCAAGTCAGCAAAAAGATCCTTAGAAACATACTGTTAGTTGTTAAATGAATAAGGTATAGAGTTGCTTTTCACACAGAGACAAAAAGGCAGATTTGCTGCAATAGTCTATTTATAAAATGTGTTTTCTATTCCCTCAAACTCACAGCAAAGCTTTAGATGAAAGAGGCACATGCATAGAGTTCAAAGCCTTCTATGTTTTATCTGTATTCCCACAAGAAAGATGGATGCGAAAAGGTGGACTGCTAAAGCCTGACTAGAATCTTCTCATCAGCTTGGCTAAAATAATAATAAGTAAAGTCAGCCCAGATTTTGATGAATTGACTGGCCACTGCTCAGATGAGGGTTGTGGGAGAAATCAAAAAGGCTGAGTCAGGGCCACTCAAGGAATGAAGAGATAAAGCTGATGACCTACATGGTTACTCAAAGGGAGCAGGGTGGGGTGTATGTGGCCCAGAACCAGGCAGTGTGAGAGCGGCCTGGTGAGAGCAGGAGTAGTGTCAAAGGCCCCACTGAGAGTGGGGCAGAGTGAGTGTGGACCAGGACAGGGCAATATGCAAGAGGCCTAACAATTAACTGAGTTTGGCCCAGCCTAAAGCTAGAGCTGCAACAAACTGTATGTCATCTGCGAGGCATGGAACGTGATAAGGGTCAGGTTGGAATTGTGTAAGAACTGCCCTTGACATCAGGGTGCTTATTTAGCAACAAGGCATGGCAGGAGAGGTAGGAGGGTGGTTTGCCCATAGACAGGTGGCAGGCCAGTACTGGGACCAGGTCTGGGAGTTTGCCTCTGTCACAATGTGGAAACTAATTTTCAAAGTATGGATTTTCCTTTCTTTACCAGTGCCAGGAACTTCTAGATAGTTGTTGCTGACCTGCTGCTGTTTGTGCTTGCCCCACCCTGGCACTGTTGCCCTTAAAGCAACAGTAACCAGGAATTATTTTGAGGTTCCTGGCATGGCAATATTGCCAGGGTGCAGACTGTGAGGAGTTGGGAGGCAATTTCCTAACTCCTAACTTGGCACTGAGGGTGGGTGTCCCTCTTGCCCACCCTAGGTACACTACTGGGTATTAGCCATAGACACGGCATAGAGTCAACATATTATATTAAGACTGCATGTAAAATGAAATGGGATAAAGTTGCAGTGGACTTGAGTTTTAGACTAACAGTATGATCCAAACAACTTCTGGATCTCCAACAACCACTGAGATTGCTTACGAGATCGTTTAAAAAGGAGCTTGGAAGGGAAAAATATCCTTCTGTTTTAGGGCAAAAGGCAAACTGTAACTGGGAAGATTAGGAAAAAACTCCCCCCAGGTTCTTCTATAACTGTGCATTCAGGATCTCTTTCAGCCTTCCTTTGACAGATCTAGAGACACAACTGGCTAGACAGTTGTGTAATTTTGAACTTCTTTGACCATTTCTATATTCTTACATTATTCAGCATATCCCCTCTCTATAAATAAACATAAGGAATAGTGGCATTATATCTATATGCTGTTATACCTTTGGAAATCTGAGCTCCACATCAACTGTCAAGATTGAGGATTTAGACCTTTGAGGATTCAGACCTTCAGCACAAAGGAATATCCATTCTGATTTGCCTTTTCTAGTCTTGTGTTCAGAAGATTGTATGGGGGGGGGGGGGTTCTCTTCCTCTTTCCTGGCTGTATGAATCTAGAGATATTATAAGAATCAATTGGTTAGAACATTTTGAATGGAATTTCATGTTGAAACAAAAATGCTTTGCAGAGACATGTCAAGTATGATAAAAAGTGTTTTTGAGAGACTGAGAGTGGGAAGCAAATCATTGTGTCTGACTTCCAGGTTCAAATTGCTGCTCTATACCATTCAAAACCAAGATTTTTATCCTAGGATCTTCCGTAGCCCAGGTTGATATAGTCAACACATATACATGTATCCCTTTTGCTGATTCACAAACATCAAGTTTCCTGTCAGAAATAGGTAATCTGATGCTGATTATGTTTTCAGAAAAATATTTTGCCTAAAAGTTTGTAGAATGGCAGTCTAGTCCCACACTTTCCATAGATTACGGTAGCATAGATCCATTATGTATTCTTGTTATCACAGAATCCAGGCATGAAAACAGTGACTCCAAAAGTGCCAGCATGTGATGGGTTTTTAACAAATGCAGCGTTGCATGGAGAGAAGCATGTAGCATCAGGCTTTTGCCTTGAGACATATAGATGAAACATGTAAATCTTTTGCTTAAGGCTGTAAGTGGCAAGAACTCACATTTATTAAACATGAAAAATCCAGCAATTACATTAAGAAGATAAATAGGGGTCTGCAAAGTGGGAATTATTCAGTTTGGATCTGGCCCAATTTGGGGGACAGTGATTCAATTAACTGATTCACATCACTGTCCCGATTCAATTCAGCTGAATCTGAAGATTCAATTTTGGTTTAGAGAATCAGCGATTCAGCACTAGACACAACTTTACATGTTTTTTCTATGTACTTTGAGGTACCAGGCACAGGTCATGAACACTGAGATGGTGGGGCAGATGGAGCATCCCACGAGACCTCGGGGGGGGGTCCCCTCAGTGGTGGACCTGGAAGTGGACCAGAAGTAAAAAGTCCAGTCCACTTCTGGGTCCGCTACCAAGCATGAGGGGGACCCCCCGATGCCTCCCCAGCTTGGTGATCAGCTGTGGGGGGAACCCTGGGTGTGCCCCCAGATTCAGGAGGCACCAATTGCCAAGCCAAGGGATGTGGGGGGTCCCCCACACACTCCACATTGAACATGGAAGTGGACTGGAAGTACTTCTGGTCCACTTGTAGGTCTGCTGCCAAGCACACAGGGGACTCCCCCACACTCCCATGGGATGTTCCACCTGCCCCACCATTTCAGCATTCTTGAGCCACGCCTGGTACCTTGAGGTATGTAGAAAAAACATATAAAGCTGTGTCTGTGGCCAAATTGGTGAATCTCTCCATATCAAAATAAAGGCTTCCAATTTGATTCAGAGAGTTTAATGGGTCTCCTGATTCAATTCAATTTGGAGATTTGGCTGCCAAATAGGGCCAAATCTCCTCTGAATTGAATCAGCAACCAAAGTTTCATATGGCCCTAAAGATAAATATCCTCTCTGTTAGTTCTTGGCTTATTCCTGTTAACCTCTTAAAAATCTTAGTGTATAGTTATGAAACAATTTTGACACATGGGGAAATATGGCTAGTTTTCCAAACATTTTTTATTTACTTGTGTGTTTAAATTCATTTATAAACTTTTATTTTACTTCCCATAGAAATAGCCAGATTGATAGCCTTAGAGGCTGTTTATAGAACTGTTCTGGCCTGCATGACATAACATTAATGCTTGATTTTTCCATGCAGTCTTGCCAATATGTCATAGTGCAGACATGAAAATTCCATCAGAAATAGGGAGAAGGCAGAGTATTTTTCAAGATAAATTAGTCCTTGCTTCTTCTTTTGAGGCAACCAGCATTATATGTGTCTGCCTGTTGCAAACTGGAACCACCAAATTGCATCTAAATAGTCCGCTTATGTTGTCAGACTTGGACTCATGGTCTTAAAGGAAAAAGCTCCCCATCCTATTACCACACCAACAGCAACCAAATCAAAAACAAAAAAAAGAACACCACCTCTTTAATGCTCCACAAGTATTTTTCTAGGCTGTCTCATGTCCCATGCCATTTTATACAACTACTGGGAGTACATTAAAGACAGGAGGTTCAGGGCTCACTCATGTCAGTGTGCATTTGACATGTGGCTGTAAGGAAGAATCATTATACCACTGTTCAGTGTCTAAGTCTGATTGTCTAGATAAAGAGTGGATAAAATGGTTGGTGCCTGTGGACAACTTCCAGTCCATGAATTGCACAATGGAAAAAGTCATATCTAAAATAAGAAAGATCAGCCACCTGGGCAGACTTTCTCTGCATCAATGTCTTATGAGCACCTGAAGAAAGGCTTGATATTAACTACTGTGAGATTTTATTATGGCAGGTAATTGGAAGATTATAAGGATGACAATTTAATGTGGTTTTTTTTTAAGAAAGTCTCTTAAGCCAGAGAGGCTGTGTATGAACACAATCAAACAGCTAAGACTGTCTGGTCATTTTGCCTTAACTGGCTTTAAAATAAAAAAAAAATTATCTGCCAAGCTATCAAAAACTCAGGTCCCTATCAGGCCATTAGTTTTTAAGCAGATTTGTCCATGGACATCAAAGGCTAGGTATGATAGGAGGGCTTTTTCAATGCACTACCCAGGCCAGGATGGCATTCTGTTGCCACAGCGCCTCCACCTGATTGCAAGTTCTTGTTTTGACAGGAAAATTTGTTCTGGTGGCAAATTCAATATCATGTCCCAGGCTGGCAATTCCTCTATAGTAGAATTCTATTACCTTTTCATAAATTAGAACACCAGTCATCTAGGTTCTGCTAGCATGTCTGGGATATACAGTGTACTGAGATATTGAAGAGAGAATTCTAAACCTTGGCACTTTTACAATAAAAATGGTGATTAGAAAGGTCTGCATTCATATGCTTATAAAAATTTTAGACCACATCATCATACATACTGGGCTGTGCCATTTGCTGTGGCACCAGTTTACTTGTAAGTAAATTATTCATGAATAAATAATGAGTAAATAAGAGGGCTGGCAGCACTCTTCAAAAGCCAGCCCCTCCCACTGCTCCCTGGCCAGCCACTTCCCTGGCCTGGAGTAGCAGCACACACAGCACAGGAGCAGCATGTGGTAGCACCCTTCTCACCACCTCTGCCTCCCTGTGCCATGGCTGCTCCTGCCTCTGCCCCTGGCAGCAATGACTGGGCAGTGATGACCAGTACTCTTCACTTTGGCTGATTCCCACACTGGTCTTGCTGGCCTACACCAACCACAGCCATCTCGCCCCTCCTGGTTTCCACATATGCAGTGACTGCCTTCCCAGGACTATTGTCATGCACTTGCCACCTTGACCCTGTCTGCCTCGCCCTTGGCCATGCACTTTCCACAATGACCTCATCATAGACATCAATGATGGGCTTCAGGATGACACTGCTGGGGCTGTTGTCAGCCTCCTGGGCGCCCATCCTCACCACCTCAGGGCCCGATGGGCCAGCCAGGACTGGTGGTGGCACACTGTCCAGCATACCTGAGATGATGAGAAGTGGCTGGAGACATTCTGTATGATCAACAGTAAAGAACCTTTTTCCTCATGAAAACTGTTAGATCCCGACTCCATGCAGTACCCAACGACTAGGGAGACGATGGTCCAATTACCCGTGGATCCTGTTACTCATTAGCCAGAGCAGAGCGGGGATAAAACACCAGCACGCATTGCTTTCAAGAGCTTTATTCAGAATGGAGACAGATTCGGACAAGGGCCTCACACCATAAGAGATGGGGTCCTGCCCTGAATAATAGGTTCATCCTACATTTATAAATTTTTGTTTATACTCATTAACATTCACTCCTCCCTTGTCCCGCCTTCAGTTCCACCCATTTCTCCTCCCATCGCAAGCTCCACCTCTGTTTATAGTTTGCTTCATTAGCATGGAATTGCCCATGCATTTTACTAATTTAAATGTCTTTTTCCTATGAGCGCATGTCTAAGACCTTGACTCCGGCTGTTCGGTCAATGGGCAGACTTCGTCCAAAATCTGGAAGCTTCTGGAGGCCTCTTCACTAATCATCATTCCCCTTTTTGCATACACTCATCTCGGATTCTGCTACCAATTACGTGTTGTTTTTCACGTCCCAGTCTGTTTTTCTATCTCATGTTGTACCATCTTCCACATTCCTAAAACAACACCTCATTCACAGCACACAGATTTACTTTTCCCTCAGAAAATGGTTGACAGTTAAAATGGTTACTTAGCATAAGCAAATGGCTGGCTTAGATATCATTCTGCCTTGTGGTCAACAGCTTTGCCAGGCCACAGGTCATGCCTTTGTATTCAGCTGCAAATCCAGTGCTCCCTAATAATCCAAATTATTGTTACCCTGACAAAAACTACATGCAATATCTTTTGTGTGCCGACCCAGGGTGGAGGGCCATGGGGTGGGGGCACCTAGAGGGCAAAGCCCAGGGGCAAACAGCCAGAATCCCAGTCTCTGGCTGTTCCCTGTGGGTGCTCACACTGCAGTGAGTGTGGCGGGCAGGGGCTTGCCCGGAGGTGATGGTGACCAGTCTTCCCCTGGTGCAGGTGGCTCCACCTCTAGCAGGCCCAGCAGAGCTGGCATGCAGTCCTGATCCCACTGCAGGCAGCTCCAGCTCTGTGCCCATATGGAGTTGGCATGAATGTTGAAGCTTTGCCGCAGGTAGGGGGATGGGAGGAGCTGGACCCAGGGCATGGGCAGGTGCTCCTGGCTGCTGGATGAAGCACAGGACTGCCTTCCAGGTCCATACAGGGGCCTGCTGCTGGGCAGCAGGTGGCTGTCAGGTGGCAGGCAGGTCTAGGGCATGAAGGTGACTGCCAGAGCCAGAAAGGTGTCCAGCACTTGGTTGTCATTGTCCATGGCTTGCACTGCCCAGGCTAGGATGGCATTCTGTTGCCACACCAGTTCCACATGTCCTTACAGGTGATGTCCTCTTCCCATCATCTGTCCTGGAAGACCACATCATCTGCCTGCCAGGCCCAAGTGTCCACCAGTCAGTCCTCTGACACCATAACCAGGCAGCCCAGGAGGAGGGGCCTGTCCAGGGTCCTCTTCTGGCAGAGCAGGTGCAGTGGTGGTGACTCTGAGGCCACATCCCAGCTGCCAAGCGCAGCTTCTCCCCCATGTGCACCTGCAGGCCCTGTAGAACCATGAGAAAAAAGCTGTTTATGTAACTTTGCAACATTTCAGGGATGAGATACTCTGTACCAGGGGCTGTGCAGTGCCTGGCCTCAGATCAGGGGTGAGGCATGCATGGGTGCCCAGGGACCATGGTAGGTTGGGCAGGCAAGTCCTGGCCCAGGCAGCTGCTGACCAAGCCCCACATCCCTCCTTGCTCCCATGGGGCGAGTGGGCTGATGGGTGCTGGCTGCAGGCAGTCTGCCTCCCCCACTCCATTCCCAGGGTGAGACAGGCCAGGCCAGGTTCCTGGCAGCACCTGCTGCAGCAGCTCCAGCCCCTGCTGCCCCCTCTCCTCCTGCACGCCAACCGCTCTGCTGCACTGTCACCCAACCCATCGCACTTTGGCTCAGGGGGTGCAGGGCTCCTGGACAATGGACACAAGGAGCTTCCCATGCCCCCACCCTCCCCAAAGGGGTTTTCTATAGGGTGGCACTGCAAGTCCATTCCCCACAGCCAGCCCTGCACCCCAAGCATGCCCCTGCTGCACGTGCCCCAGACATCACATGCAGAGCTGTTTGTGTGGACCAAGGAGTGCCTGACCCACTACACTCTGCTGCTAATGGACTTGCTGCCCAGGCACAACTGTGAACATTGCACAGGACCCTAAGCTATGCTGGCAAGCCCAGGCTGCCCCACAACCTCTGCTGCTGTTTGGAGGGCTACCTGGCACTGCTCTACATGGCCCTGTCCCCCACAGCCAAGGATGACATCGATGCCAGCATCAACATGTTTCTCAGCATGTGAGAGGCCTGTGTCCACCAAACTGGGGGCACAGGCTGCTCAGTAAAGTTTTGCACTGTCTCCCACCTCCCTGATTGTTGTGAAGGGGGGAACCCAGGACTAGGGAAGAGAAGCCAGGCTGGGGCTAGGGCCAGGGCCAGGGTCAGGGCTTGTGCCGGGGCAGGGATGGGCAGGGACCTCCCCCACACTGCAGGGCTTACCACATAGCCAGTGATGGCATGGCTAGTGGCTCTGCATGATCACAGCTGTCAGCTATCAGTGATGGTGTTCAGCTGCAGGAGGTGTCCTCAGATGGCAGGGTGCACTGGGTAGACACTCAGCCAGCCCAACCCTGGACAGGAGAAGCTCCCAGCTCAGAGCCCCAGAGCCAGCTTGAGGTTGGCACCCAATGGCAGGGCTTACCTGGGGGCAAATTGGCTCCTAGAATGGGTGACTGGTGCCTCCTGAGTTGGGGAGGGGGGCACCTGCAGAAGCTGGTGCTGGCAGTGGGGCTGGTGAGCACCTGCAGAAGCCTCCACCAACACTGGCAGTGGAGATGGCCCTTTTGGGGGGCAGCCCTCCGTGTCCCCCCTACCAGTCACCTATGCCCAGGCCTGTATCAGGGTCTGCCTATGTGCCTCCTAGGGGCTCTGTTCATCGGTGGAAAAGGTTCTTTGCATAAATGCGATATCATGAATGCTGTGTGCCTTGAGAGGCTGGGGAACAGGAGCACAGAGAACTCCCGCAGGTTGCAGCGGCACTGTCAGCAGTGGGAGCATGGTGATAGTGAGTGGTGAGCTCCTGCAGGTGACTATGGTGCTGTCAGCGATGGAGGGGATGGGGTGGTGAGTGCTGACCAGTGGTCGGCGACCACCCACAGATGCTGCCAGCAGCATTGGCAACAGCCAATAGTGATCAGTGCCCCCATATTCACTGCCGGCAGTGTCACTGGTGAGGTGGGTGTGGCAAATGGCAACCACCCACAGACACCACTGACAGTGTTGGCAGCAGCCAGTGGTGATTGGGGACTGCCTGCAGACACCAGCCGTGGTGTCAGCAGCAAAAGGCGGGTGGCGAGCGGCAACTGCCTGCTTTTTGCAAGGGGTGCACTGCTGAGGTGTGCTTTTTGCAAAATGTACACCCCCTACACATCAGCACACGTCAGCAGTGGCTCCCAGGTCACATCTACGCATGCATTACTATAAAGTAACTAATTGTAAGTGCATTTGAGGCAAAAAACCCCCTCATTATTAAGGTGTTTTAACTTCACGGTAAGCATGCCCACGTGTAGATGTGCATTCTTAATGCACAGTAAACTTTACTACTGATCAGTTAAGCATGTTGTGTAGATGTACCCACTATGTGAAATACTTTACATTTGGAAATGTACACAAGCACATTGACTGTAAATGAGTTTATAATAAATAATAAAACACCATGACACAATATTTACTTAATTCAAGTAATTAGCACTACCCCAGTTTACATTTGGAATGTTCATATTTTTATTGCCTTCCCTGTTCAAAGCAATGGATAATTGCTGTTTTTCAGTTATCCTGTCATTTTTTAACTAATATGTATTTCTGTAAGAAGGCAATCACACATGTTGCTGTGAAATTAATTCTCCTGGATGCCATGGTTTCCACGGTTGTAGAATTCCAAAAGCCAGTTGTACATGAACTGCAAAATCAACTGGCTTCATAAATGTATAATCAATATGTAGCCCAGGTACATCCGGGGTGTGCCCTGTCCGCCATTGGAAGGGATGGGGTGGTCAGGCAAGAGTGCTGTGAGAGGGTGCAAAGGAGTGAGAGAAAGCAAACAAAAGCCCTGAGGTGCCTTACATGCTGGGCAGGGGAGATCAGGGGAAGAAAAGCAGCCTGAAGCAACAGACAGAGAAAGTGAAAACAAACAACACTCACAGCATAGAGGGCTGGCAGGGCTGCAGCTGGAGACTGGAAGGGAAGAGAAACACTCACCACAGTTCCGGAGCAGTATCTCACTCAAGACTGGAGGAGGAAGGCTGCTCAGAGGTATTTCCAGCTCCTGGAGAGGGGCAGAGAGGGATCAGTTCCCTGCTAGCAGCAGAGAGAGGAGTGGCTGAGCAGCCAGCAGGCAAGGGTTGCGAAACTTGCCAGAGCAATGCTGGGTGTGACCCTGAGAAGGTGGCAGGTGGAGACCTGCACACACAAGGTTTTTGATACTCTCTAGAGTGGAGCATTATCTGAGGATCCAGGGAGAGAGAATGCACACGGCTTTGATAATCTCTGGAGTGGAGTGTCAGCTAAGGATCTGGACGAAAAACCAGAGAAAACTGCTGTTCCAGGTTAGAGCCTTGCTGCACGTGCGAGAGATCCCACTGGGACTGTGAATGTTCACAATGAAGCCGGGCAGGCCTATGCAGAACAGTGACTGGACTAATTGATTTGTTTTGCTGTGGTGATTGGGATATGAGAACCTGACCCGTGGTGAAGGGGATATGGACTGAGCCTGGCAAGGAGACTGAGAACAGTTGGGGATTTTGGAGGGGATTTTCCCTTTTTTTTTCCATACTTGAGTACAGGCTAAAGCCAACCCTGGAAGGGGTGCACCTAATCAAAGTCAACGATCACCCTGGTGGTAGAGGGCAGAATAATAGACTAACAGACAGTACTGCAACCTGGCTGCAGAGGATTTTGAGCACCATCTGGAGAGGCTAGGCTGGGGTAAAGGGGAGGTTTGGAGCCCCACGGAAGAAAATGGGGATTGAGATCGGGTAGGATTACCTTGGGCATTGCCTCCTAGAATATAATTTCATCAAAGTTGTGGAAGGTACGAAACACAAGATCAACTTCCTGGCAGACCAGATGATCCGAAGCTGAGGTCCACT